AGGGCTGACTATATGCGTTGTCATTTATAAAAAATAATTATGTCATCGCTGCCGTAAGTGGATTATCGAAAAAAAATTTTTCCACATAACAAGGTGCTCTGGATCAAATAAAAATCGACGGGTCTCACCGTTTTTCGAAAAAAATTGTTTAACGAAAAATATTAATTTTATGCAGAACTTTTTTACCACGCTGTATACACTTGGATGTTTTTGTTTAAATTTTTGTAATTTTTGTTTGTAAATCTTTAAGAACTTAAAACTCATGAAGATTTGTCTAGGAAGCATATAAAACAGTTTTTATAAACGAATTCTGTTTTCAGGGTAGAATAGATTAGTTATTGAATATAAATAATAATTTTAATGGAAACAGTCTGACTTCTAACTGGTCTGTAAGGACATACAGTAAACATTTTCTGACATAAATTGATTGCCGGCATACAAAAGACTTGGCCTTGGTTTGACCTTGAATCTTAATCAAAGTCAAATCCAAGGTCACGAGCATATAGTTTTTTTGATATCCTACCACTCTTAACCGAAATATTTTTGACAGGACTCAATGTTGAAAAGTTGTCGGGGCCTTTCTGGAACATCTCGTACATCTGTTGCTTTGTACGGATTCCAGGACGAAAATTAATTTTCCATTCCGGCTATTGTTCCTCGGAAACAATCACGTTCAGTCGCTCTATCCAACGAAACATAAAATTCTCCATTTCCCTCTAGTCAAATCCGACATGTGCTCGAGACATCTTTTATTCATGATCGATATAAATGAGGAGCTTCGCGTTGGACAGGCTTTTAATAAAACTGAGAGCGAACATTTGTCGCACGAGAACAAGTACGCAGCATTTTTTCCCTAACTGGATGGCAAAATTCTAGGCAGCCCTTGCTAACTTCGGCTGCGAATGTCTATAGATAGTTGCCAAGACTAAACTCTATATTACCTTCGCCGACTTCTCGGTAAAGCTTACAAGTGGATAAGCGACACAAACTTACGTAAACCTGTTCAATATTCCAGTAGGTTTAGGGCGTGCGAGCAGATATACGCTAAAGCTGCCTAATCGAGAGAATTACCTGAAATTTATCTTGAGAGACAGCTGGTGGGAGTTCAAAGAAAAACTAAATGGCGTGTAAGATATGCTACTGACAGCTGACAAACTTTCACGGCGTAAGCAAGAAGACAAGGGAATTCCGTATAATGAAGTGATGGCTGATTTGCTCGTGTTGATCGCACAAAGTGTCTTCAAGGACACTGTAGCAAACACTTGGAACATTTAATTTGAATAACAATGATCGAAATGTGAACTCGCGTAAACATTTTCAAGTGCACCTATCTCTACCTTGTAAAAAAAATCACTCTGTTTTACTCAATAATGTATCAATTTAACTATCCGTTTATTTAACCAAATATGGAGACTCAATACAGAGTGTCCCACAATGATGGAACAAATTTCATATATTTTTTTCCAGTTGAAATTTAAAAAAATCCCTGAAACAGGTCAATTAGTTATTAGAAATTGTCACTTTTCTGCAGTTTTTTCTATTTTCTTGAGCCATGTTTGACAGACCTATAATATTAAAGACATTTTTTGTTTAATATAACGCTTTTTATTTTACAGTATAAATAGATCTTCTAAAGAACGTGATTTCGCGGTCAAAATTGATGGTTCTTTTTCTAACCTCAAAAAAAAAACAGGTCAATTAAGGTCAGATATCACGAATTTTCAAAAAATAATATTCGCGCCTAATTTGGTATACGGGAGGTTTCGGGATCGCTGATCACAGATTCGAGGTTAATTTTGTAAAATTCAAGATGGCGGATCCAAGATGGCCGACCAAATTTTCAAAAAGATATCTGACCCGTTTTTTGAGGTTAGAAAAAGAACCATCTATTCTGACTGCGGATTCACGTTCGACGGGGTCTTAACTATATAAATAAACGTTTGAATATATAAAAAATTATATTATTCCTAGAACTTCGTGAATTTTTGCTGTTTTTGACCCGTATTTTGAGGTTAGGAAATTCCTGAGATGCTCAATTCTGACACCGGATTCGTGGCAAAAGGAGAGGCGATCAGGAGGCAAAAATACTACGGATAACATATGTCGCATGAAAAGTACAGACAACTTTTTTTGT